TTAGACCTAGACTTCTGCGAGACTGTTTTTGAAAGTTCTACGGTATTTAGTCATTCATGACCTACTTACATAAGTTGCCGGCATCGCCACAGCCATATTTGATAACATAGGCTTCGAGCCTACCCAAACAAAGAAACTCTGCTCGAGTCTAATAATTTTAAAATGTATAGACTTGTCAAGTATATTTTCAGAAAAGTCTGTTATGCATATTGAAGGTGTCATGTCCATTTCGTAACAGAGAAAAAAGGCCCACTTCTTGAATAGAGATATTTGATCGTGTAGTGCGCGAGGATGCCGGTCAGAGCATCCATTGGTTCTTAAAAATAACCATGACATGATTGAGGCTTCATAAATCAATACGCTAAATAAGATAAGATTAAGACGCATTTAAATTATTTAACATAACGTATTAAAACAAATTTAAAGTAATGGAATATTTGTAATACTCGAAATCATTCATCAACGCTTACAAATTCGTTATTCTTTAGCTTTATGCACTACTTTTTATCATGATGTGGCGGATGAATATTAAATCTCCCCATTGATGGTATAAAAAAAACTTACTCCGGCGTCTCGTTAATTTCGCTCGAGCTCCCTTGTAGTGTTAACATTTTATAAAATATTAAAACAAAATGCGTGAAATTGTCCATCTCCAAGCCGGTCAGTGTGGTAATCAAATCGGTGCCAAGGTATGATTTCTGTTGTGGTGTATTAGCAATATATTTTGTGTTAATTTACTTATTTATTGAACATTCTAAATAGTCGAAACCTTGTCGAGGGTTTTGAGATTGCGTGTGCATCTCCTCATCTCGCGCCATTTATCTCTTCTCTGCTATCATCACGGCTTTCATGTATGATATGTAATGAATCTTAAGTCTGTCTTTGCCATGCTAATGCTAAGCCTAGGTTATCTAGATTAGATTTTAAGCTAGTCTAGATTTTGTTAATGTTGCACATCTGTATTATAATTGTAAAATATTTGAATAACTAGAACTAATATAAATTAGTTCAATAAAGTCTAAAAGTACTTTGGCCTAATTATTTTAAAAGTTCTGGCGCATTGGCCCCCTCCCTTTTTTTTTTCATATCCCCGATCCCTTTTTGCAGACACTCCTTTTTTACCTCCTAAATGTCCAGACCAAAAATTTGAATTGGGCGGCTATATGGGCTTTCATTGTTCATTGATCAGACATTCCCTCCAACCCTTCTTTGTATTCCATGTTATATTTTTTCTCTCTATTTTGGTAAGCCCGGTAACGGATTTAGATTCTATATCAGTGATCATCTATGACTTAGAATAGAAAAGTACAAGTCTAAGTGACTCTTAAGAGTAAGACAGTGATGATTCCTAGGTCGAAAACTAGATTAAAATTAAATAGGTGGCAAAATGCCAACATTACTTGTGACTAACTTGTGTGTAATGTGATAAATCCAGTTTATCTAGATTCATGATAGGTCCATTAGCACAGTAGTCTAAATATATTACTTGCCATTTGAACTAGAGAGTGATCAGGTAGGCTAGATCTAGTTTTGGACCAGTTCATTATTGGATTAGATGTTTCATTAATATTGTCTTATGGGATGGTTACATTAACATTTTATGGGAACATCTTGAACCATAGCATATTTCAGGACATATTTGTATGGCATTCTTATGAAGTTTTTTTTTTTTTTTTTTCCTTTAGTTCTGGGAAGTCATCTCAGATGAACATGGCATTGATCCAACTGGCACATACCATGGTGACTCTGACCTTCAATTAGAACGTATCAATGTATACTACAATGAAGCATCAGGTGAGGCTTTTACTTGTTCAAAAAGGTCTTTATGTAGCTTTAACTTTAAATTCCATCAGTAAGATCTAGTAATTTGCATATATTTTTTATGAGTTGATTTGATTTTTTTTTTTTAACATCTATCGCTTGTGTTGCAGGTGGCAAATATGTCCCACGTGCCGTATTGGTTGATTTGGAACCCGGTACAATGGACAGTGTCAGATCTGGGCCTTTTGGTCAGATTTTCAGACCAGATAACTTTGTATTTGGACAGTCAGGTGCTGGCAACAACTGGGCTAAAGGTCACTACACAGAGGGAGCTGAGCTCGTAGATTCAGTTATGGATGTAGTTAGGAAAGAGGCTGAAAACTGCGACTGCTTACAGGTAAAAAAAAAATAAATTTTTTATTGGTTAGAATATGGGAGTATTGAATTATTTAGCCTCAATTATTTGACGAGTAAATAAATAGGGTTATTAATATTTACTTTTCAATTAATTTTTTAAGTGTAATTTTTAAAACGATGCAATATTTTTTCAGGGCTTCCAACTCACACATTCACTTGGTGGCGGCACTGGATCTGGTATGGGCACATTGTTGATCAGTAAAATGAGAGAGGAATACCCAGACAGAATCATGAACACATTTTCAGTCGTCCCATCACCAAAGGTGATTATTTGTGCATATATTTATGTAGTTATCTTTTGCAATACTTTTTCATTCCAGGTATTGCTGTACAGCTAAATGTTTTTGAGAGTAATGCTTGAATTGGGAAGTGAAGTGTCCACTTTATCTTTAGTGACCCCACTTTTTTTTCTTAGAGGGTCTCAAGTATAAATCCATAACTCTTTCTCTCCTAATCGACGATACTATAGTTGATTTGGCATCATAAAATCAAGTTTTGGCTTATAAACACTAATCTGTGTTTTATAAAAAAGAGCATGCTTCCTCTGTTAATTCTGTACCAAAGAAAAAATATTTTGTAACAAGATATTGAAGTTTAAACAAAGTGATCTACAATTGAGTAAAATGAACAATTCTGTCGGTCAGGAAAAATAATTAAGGGAGAAAGAGTTAAGAACTGGGTTTTTTAACTTAACATTTTTAGGACATCCATGAATCCTTGATGTGTTTAGAAGTCACTGGTCACCAGAGTGTGGACATGACCTTTTTTTTTTTACTATTATTATCTTGGGGCTTAGCTTAAGTTAAAAGTATGATTCAAAGTGTTAACATCAAGTAGAATATAAAATCTTATTAGGCTTCTCTGGTTTATTTAGCTCTGATAGTTTTGTGTTTTAATTATATCTTACAAGTTTATTTATGCCTTTATTTGTGAACATTAAAGATTTACTGTAAGCCCTTTCTTTATTTAGGTATCAGACACTGTAGTAGAACCATACAACGCAACACTCTCAGTCCATCAGTTAGTAGAAAACACAGATGAAACATATTGCATTGACAATGAAGCCTTGTATGACATTTGCTTTAGGACCCTTAAACTGACCACACCAACCTATGGTGACTTGAACCATCTAGTCAGCGCCACCATGTCTGGTGTGACCACATGCCTCAGGTTCCCTGGCCAGTTGAACGCTGACTTGAGAAAACTGGCAGTCAACATGGTGCCCTTCCCCCGTCTCCACTTCTTCATGCCAGGGTTTGCTCCCCTTACATCCAGGGGCTCACAGCAGTACCGCGCCCTTACTGTCCCAGAGTTGACACAGCAGATGTTTGATGCCAAGAACATGATGGCAGCCTGCGACCCACGTCACGGCCGCTACCTCACAGTTGCAGCCATCTTCAGAGGCCGCATGTCCATGAAGGAAGTTGACGAACAGATGCTCAATGTCCAGAACAAGAACTCCTCCTACTTTGTCGAATGGATCCCCAACAATGTTAAGACAGCTGTCTGCGACATTCCACCACGTGGTCTCAAGATGTCTGCCACTTTCATCGGCAACAGCACAGCCATCCAGGAGCTCTTCAAACGCATCTCCGAGCAGTTCACGGCTATGTTCCGTCGTAAGGCTTTCCTCCATTGGTACACTGGGGAGGGCATGGACGAGATGGAGTTCACTGAAGCAGAGTCCAACATGAATGACCTCGTTTCTGAGTACCAACAATACCAGGATGCTACCGCTGAGGATGAAGGCGAGTTTGATGAAGAGGAGGCTGAAGGTGAAGGTCAGGAATTTGCTTAAATGGGTCAGTTGCAATCTACCGAACATCATTTTAGGACACTTGTCTTGGACCATTGGAACTTTGTGTCCAGCCAATTAGCGACTTAAGTTAAATACAACTAACAATTTTTTTTTTCACTTTTGTCACTGACCAATCATTAAAGAATGGTCATCAATAAAAAAAAAAATTGGCTTTTGTTTTCTGTTGTTACTGTTATTCAATTATTCTCTTCAATCTTTTTTGCTTGTTGACAGACTGGAGATGCTGGTTATGTGCTGGTATTACCTGTTTTTCTGGTAGTGGTATACTAAAAGTTTTCTCTAATTTTATATGTTGGATCCACACACAGTTTTATAGACCCTAAACTAATATTTTGAAATTACACAACAGCATTAAGGAATGATTCTTCAAAGGTACACCTAAGCTGATGTAGGCTACACTTCATTCTTAATGTAGAATCTTCAAGCTCATCCCACTATCTGTCCTACTTAATTCATGGTTACATCAGAAGTGATGACCAAATATAAAATGAATGGCTTCCTAAACTTTTGGTTCTGGTTCGATTCCTGATGAAACTGATTACTTGCGGAATATTTATGGCAAGCTGTAAAGGGGAAACCTGGGCAATAGTTGTAAAGACGGTTGGCCACAGAAACAGGACCTTTATTTATATCATCTGTCCTGTAATTCTTACATGATTTTAAGATGGACTTGAGAATTACTTGGTTGAAAATTAGTCTACGCTATAGTTACAAGTCCTCGGTAGTGTACTATTATGTTGACGTGACCTATGACAGCTACTCTTTGTCTACCAGGGCTTTGTACGCAACTTAGCAGACGTTGGTTATTGAAACAACCTGTCTCTCAGGTCGTTCAATTGGCCGGACTGACTTCACCTATGAGTCATCTCGCTAGTTAAGGTCTTTTGTGGGACTGAAGAGCTGTTTGAATTAGAATGGATTACCAGTGGATTGTAATCTCGTCTTTACACAACGGGGTCGGATTCAGGACTGTGGCTGCAGTGTCTCACCCTCAAAGGGGGGGGGGGAGGCGGCCTCCACAACTTAATATATTTACATGTCGGTATCTATAGATAAAAGCAGTCTACAGATAAAGGATAATTACCCCCGGTATATTAAATGGACCATTACACTACCGGTATCATTAATATAGCGTTTTCGGAAGAGGTTCCCCCTTGCTTTAGTTAAATTACACGGTATTATGACCTTATTGGCGGCGCAAAAGGGTTAACTATAGGCTCGGCTGACACACACGTGAATCACTCAGGTCAGCGGGGCCATGGACAAGGGACAGTACTACGATTACACGCAAATATGACCAATGTTATGGTCATGTGATCGAAAGCCTGCGTGTTCGAGTGAGACAGTGTGTAGGAAAGCGGCAGGTCGAGACCGGGACTGTTAGTCTGGCTATGGAGTCGGTCCTGGTTGAGTCCTCAGGTGTTGATGTACGAGTCTAGAAAAAGAGACAGTAGAGTTTTGTACGGTGATGTACAGAGTAACATTTTAGTTGTTGTGTTTGATGCCAATTGTCTAGTATTGGCTGTTATCTACTTATTCACTCATTATTAAAGTACCCAATATTGTGGAGCTCTTGTTGTCAAGTTGTTGATGTATTGTGTTGTGTTTACAGAAGGCCTGAGTAGGAGAGAGAATCGTAACAGTATTATCACAGTAGCACGATTGTTTATAAAGTCAAATGGGAAATTATTTATTATCAGTCTAGTTAATAATAATAATCTATATTATCCATAGGGAAATTTGTCTTACAATTTGTGCATTACACACAAAAAACAACTATAGAAAACCACACTAGACTCGCTTAACTTGCACCTCAACCAATGGCTACATTTGGCATAAGATTGCTTCCTTGCTGTAGCTTATACAGGCTTCACTATTTAAAATTGTTCACTGACGCCTTTTAAACATACATTCCGTTGACTTTGTCGAGCCCTCGTTAGCGTGTCAATTAGTATACAAGGCTCTCGACTAAGCCTCACATTACACGGCGTTACTCAATCAGGAAATGGTATGCGCCGTTTACGAAGTTTTAATTTGAATGAGTACTACATTTATATAGATCTTGTTGAGTCTTTAAACGCTGTACTATTAGAATACATGGCACTGGTGGAATGCATGTATTTGTATTAAAAATAAGTCTTTTACGAATCCACACAGAGGTAGTTAGATGTGTATTTTGTTGATTATTTTTCTATTAAATCTATAAAAGTAAAGTCCCCCTTTCAGACCTTGCGATCCATAGGGAAGATGATGTAAAGGTCATCTGTTTCCGTGGCCACCACGCCACGGTTAATGAGGGTGTCATTTGGCCAGCATAAGGACCAACCACCTTTACTTTTTCCCAATTAACCTCAAGTAACGTACCGGTACTCTTTAGAGCTGGATGGACTCCGATATAATGAAATATATAAATACCATAAATCAGGTGTCGTAGCCAGTCCAATGTTCTGGGATGACCAACTAAAGATGGCCTACAAGATAAACACATCCTCTCTCTGACTCATAACTTTTATCAGCCGTTCACCTAAATGTATAACCTAATGATCTTACCCGTGGTTACACCAGCCTATAGCCTATACGAACACACCCTCCTCCTCCGCTCAGCTCTCCCGTGGTTCAAGTGATGCCTCGTTTGTCTGATTGAATTATTGAGTGCAGTGATGTCAATCGTTACAAACCCGAGTCTAACTGCGGAAGCTAGAACTTTTAAAAAAACGCAACGAAGTTCTGTTAACGGTGAGACCAGCGAAGCAAGTAAGTGTAATCAACTCTTGGTGTAATCAACTCTTTGTCAATCACTTCCCCCCCCCCTCTCTCTCTCTCTTTCCCCAGGGTTACTTGAACTGAAATCCTATTGTCTTTTAGAAGCTAACAAGGACTGGGTCTTGGACAGATACTGGAAGGCAGAGCAAAGGTGCCCTTTGTTTTGTTTTGCGTGTTTGGATGTTCCTTCAGAATTGACGATTATTACAACCTAGACTCAGGGGCGCCCTAAATATCCCGAAATTAAAAATCCCAGTCTTCGCTAGGGTTTGAACCCAGAACTCACAGGTTCGGAAGCCATGAGCTTTACCACTCAGCCACTGCGCCTCCTAAGAGAACATACCCTATCAAAAAATCTGGTTTTGGAGTCCCCGTAAGGGGGGGGGGTACACCTAACCCCAAACCTCCCTCGGGTCAGCGCGTCAGGGTTTGAACATCGAAACGACGGTCCAGAGCGCATACCACACGACCAGGAAGCCATCCTTCGGCAGTTAGATGTGCTGTCTATTCCATCGGGGAGATGAGCTAGCATTGCCTAGCAAGCAACATATTTTGGTGAGGAAAAAATCTGAAATGGATTCATTTCAATCCTTTGGCATGTAAGGCGCTCTTTTTCCTTGACAAATACGCTGACTAGAAGAAGTGTGGGAAGAAAGGGTATCCAAGACGAAGCCAATAGGAAGCGAGATCTAGAATTCTAGATCTGTGTCCGTTCATACTCTCATAAGAGCAACATGAGCTTGGCTCAGCACAGTGGCGTAGCTAGGAATTTGCCATAATTTGGGTCCCCCGGGGTGGGGGGCTTGACGTATTTGGGAGGCCCCTGCATTTTGCATAATATTCAATATTTAATGTAATAAAAATAAACACTCATTTGGGGACCCCTCAAGTGGGGGGACAGATAGGATTTTCTAATTACCCACTCCATCCTTCCATCCTAGCTACGCCTCTGGCTCAGCATAGTATAACGAAATTAAAGGACTACGGTTATAAAAACTGGCTTTCGTTGTGGTAAATGTCTTCACGTCTTATACAGATGGGGATGACCTGGGAGGAAAAAAAAGGGGTGGGTGTGTAGGAAAGTCGTCACTCGATACTAACAAGCCTCACTTTTTGTTCCTGGTGAAGTGTCGTTACTCATTTCCTTCTCGGCATGTTTGCACACGTGTAGCATTGGAGATTTTCAAACACGGTTAACGAGGGTGTCATGTGGCCAGCACAACGAACAACCGCCTTTATTTTTTTTCCCCTTAATGTCAGATACCCATTGGAGCTTGGTGGACTCAGTGGCGCCCTAAATTTCCCGAAATAAAAAATCCCCAGTCTTTGACAGGATTTGAACTCGGGACCCTCAGGTTCGGAAGCCAAGCGCTTTAACCACTCAGCCACTGCGCCTCCTAAGAGAGCGAACCCTATCGAAAAATCTGGTTTTGGAGGCCCGTAGAGGGGGAGGGGGGATACACCTGAACCCGAATCGCGTTTGTTCCATCCCATTTGATCCGGTCAGCATAGAAGAGAGGCCAGTGTTGATGTGCAGGCACCACAGCACTTGCAATTTACCGCCCAGCATTTCTCTCAGCAATAGAGAGGTCAATTCATGGGCGTAGCCAGGATTTTTTTCCGGGTAGGGGGAATTGTTTTCTTTCTTTTTGTTTCACATAAACGTTTATAGTTTTTAAAATTATTTCATGCATTCCGAGCCCAGTCACAGGTAGGAAAACAGATCATGTGTGAAGTGTTGATACAATATTTCTGTTCAAGTCAGAATTTCACGGAGGAACCTAAACGCTGATCTCAAAAACGGCTCTAACGATTTTTCTAGAAATTTAACAGTTGATATATCTCGCCGAGAAAAAAATTACTAGCTCGTTGGCCACACGGAGAAAACTTTGCATTAACACTAGTTTGAAAGTTATCATTTTTCTAGTAAAAAATGAAATACATTTAAACTTGGCTAGGGATCTAGATCTAGGTCTATATCCAACATCGGTTTTGAAAGAATTTTCGCGTTTTTGAAATGATTATCGCTTTCGGCAATTTCCGAATGTAAGGCATTATTGATTCAAGAGTTTAATTAGTTAATGTTCAGCAAAATTTTGCGCATCGTCTTCTTAAAAACAACAACTATTGTTTTTCTCCCCACAAAAATATTTTTTAACACAGCGAAATGTGCAAAAATTATATTCTTTTAAAGGTAACATAAAAGGAACGCAAAGGATGTATCTAGAACATTTAGCGCCAAAACAACCACGACAACAAAACGACCAACGCTCCTAAAAAAAAACGGCGTCGTCATACGACCTGCTTCGCCCCTGAATGAAGTTTGGACTAGGACTTCATAGTTTTCATTTGTAAAGGAACATCTGAACCATTCAAAACATCCAGCAACTCCACAATTTAAAGCACTTTTAAAGTACACAATTCAAATTGTGTCTTGGGATACGAGCCCTCAGTATTGGGGATCTAACAAATTACGCCTGGATCCCTCACAGACAGAACCAAAGCTCGAGCAGGCAGATGGAAGGGAGATGCCATGGATCTGGAGTTCCAAGACTCTTCGGCTCAACTTTTTTGGACTAGTGACAAAGGTCAAGAGTCTATCATCATCGTCTTTCCTTTGAGTTCCTCGTGGAACATAGGGCTTCAGTAAAAACACGCCACTCTCCACGGTCTCATGCTAGTTTTTTAAATGGCCTCCCAGCTCTTTCCTGTCTTCTCGGCTCCATCTAGTTCCCTGCGTCGCCATGTTCTTTTTGGTCTTCCTCTTGTGCCCTGGGGGTTTCACACTAAGGCCTGCCTAGCTCTGTTGTTGGTATCTTTTCTAAGGGTGTGACCAATCCATCTCCACTTCCGCTCTAAGACCTGCACCTCTAACGACCGGTTAAATTTCAGACCAAACAGCACTCAAAGCTGATCTCATGACCACAATAGTTCTAAAAGTGATAACTGGACCAGGGGAGGACTGGGCGTATAATCCGGCTTAAAATTGTATACCATGGGTTGGGCATCCAATTATAGGCCAACTTGTCCTCAAAAGCATGTTAGATTTGATAATGTATCGATAACTGTACACATGCATACAGTGGATCATTATAAGAAATATATGTTGCCTTATGTTGCTTTTTAATCTCTAAGTGTGAAGACCTTAAAAGGATGAAGCCTACAAGCAGCAATATCTACGTATATAGGCTAGTGCATTACGTTGCAAAAATGTGTCAAGATTAAATAAATAATACACTGTCGAGTCTGTAAAAGAACGAATCTAAAAGAGTCACGTTTATAAAAGAAAGTTATAAACAATTTTCTGTAGGATCCTAGGTATCACATTCAAATACCACATCACAAAACAAGAGATTGGATCCAAGATAACCTGCTAACTATAGTAAAAAAAAAAACAAACGCAAGCTTAAAATCTATGGCCATATTACAAGATATTCAGGGCTCGCAAAGACCTTCCTTCAGGGAACAGTA